ATAAATTGGCATTATAAGAAGACTAGTTTACCTTCAAAAGGAAAAGAAATTCTAGAAATAATTCTCGTATATCTGGCTTTATTTTACGATGGGAAGTGAAAGTCGGACTCTTTGACCTTCAGAAAATAACTGGAAAGATTAGTCAATTTTTTTATTAATTGCGTGCAGAGTTATAATTGTTTCACATGTAGAATACCTAAACGTCGTAAATTCTTTACAGCACTATAAAAATAATCTTATATATTTTTTCTAACGTTATATTTTTATATGAAAACTATTACGAGTTTAAATTTCTAGTTGGTCGATACAAAAGAACAATTTTTAAAAGGAAAATTCATCATTCTTGAGAAAAAAAAATCTTAACAGAACTGTAAATGAATCTGACACAAAATAAAAAATAGAAATAAAATTCTTTTGATCTCATCATTCGTCTCATCCCGGTTAGAATTTCTGTATTTAGGGATTAGAGAATTTGCAGAGTTGAAGATTAGATCGAAATTAAAGTAGTACTGAATTATGTATTAATGCAAAATTGATTTACAGTACTTTCAAGCAATCCCTGTTTACGCCCCTCCAAAGAAAATTTCTACCCTTTCACCCATTTGGGAGCGAATGGTCTGGTTAAGCTGATTCTTACATGAGTTTGCGAGTTTATTGAGAGAAAAATCTTTTGCCTAGAGCAGATCCTCTTCCGATAAGGTAGGAATGACGCAGATATGGGGCATGAGGTCAAAACAGGTTGCTTACCCTCCCGGAAAGAGGCGTATCCAACGATGTTTAATTTCGTGTATGAACAACAACAACGTTATTTCGTTGTCATGTGGCGACCCGTCCGATAAATTGTGTCTGCAAATGTAGCACTTATATATATACTGCCAGATAGTTACGAACAATTTAAGTTTACTTAACAAGTGGTTTGATATTTATGTCCCGTTTTGTCAATTATATCACTAACCAAAATTCATACTTAGTCTCGAAGAACAATGAATAGATACCAACTAATTTTTATGTATATCCCACGTTCGCTATAAAGGAAAGGTTAATGAAATCGAAGGCATAACTTTTTAAGCTTTTTTATTTTTTATTTTTTTTTGGACAGTGAAAAAATGCCTAGCATGTCTCGAGCTATTCTTTCCTGTAGATAGGAACATTATCACGAACAGATAATTTGAAACACAATAATAGACTATCATTTATATTATCTAATCTGTATAGGTGAGAATAATGCTTCCGCCAATACTATATTAGGCAATTTGTGAAGAACATTACTCTTTCACTGACATGTAATCAATTGATTTAAAACTTAGATAAAACATATATTATATATATATACTTTGAAGCATTTTTTCACTAAATCATTTTCTATTTTCTCAGAGAATTTAATATTCCAATTAAAGGCTAGAAGTGTTACTATTTTTTAGTTAATATTCTAAATATAATTACCAGTTAATAAGTCATTCGAGCTATATTTAAAACGACGAGAAAGAATTAAAGTTATTTTTAACGAATGTTTAAATTAACCAGAAAGGAAAATTTAACTTAAAAAAAAGAAAAGAAAAAAAAAAAATGCAAATTACAGTGGAAACCCATCCCATACCATTTCATCATCTCTTTCCATTAGATCCTAATTCATTCCTCATAACGAACGTAATTCTAAATTGCTTTCTCTCGCGTCAATTTAAAAAGGATCCAATCTGTTATCGCACCTCTTTCTCTTTTAAATAAATTCAACCATAAGGATAGAAGGGTTTTCTAAATGCAATAGTGTGATGCCAACTAGGCTGTCATCAAATTCCCTTCTTCATTAGTATTCAGTGCTTTCTCTTGGTCACTTAGGCAAATATTGGAATGGACCTCAATGAAAGCAATAAAATTGGCCTCGTCTATTTTTAATTTGTCTCATAATAAATAAGTTGCAGTTAGAAAAAAATAAGCGAAATATTTAGAAAATAATATATATTCACTATTACAATTTAATTAAATAAGTCGGAATTTAAATAATAGAATTTTTAAAATAAAATTATTTACTTAAAATTATCTTATTTATTTATTAAATATGTATTTATAAAAATTTCATTTTTATAAAATGTTATATTATGTAGCTTATGTATTTAAAGATATTCATTTATTAATTGAATTTTTTAAAATTAATGCGAAATATTTGCATTCCATTTTAATACGTTAAATATTAACGTATAAATGAATTTCATTTAGATAAACTTAATTCATCTATACAAATTCAACTTAATTAAGGAAAAATAATACATTATTTATGCTGTAATACATAAAATATTTATTATATTAAAACGAAATAAAAAACAGTATTATTATTTTCTGGACAGGACGAGACTTGACAATTCTGAAATTTAGACCTGAAGGTTTAATACAAAATATACTTATTTTGCTACATTTAATAATATATTCAAATTTATCGGAAAAAATAATTTATTCAGTTGAATGTTTTATTATAGATTTTAAAAGTTGTTTGACAGCAGTTAAATTTTTTATTATATGATTAATTTAAGTTGCTATTAAACGGGATTTCAAATTATGTGTTTAATATAATATTGATATGAGACATTACAGGAAAATAATTTTAAAAAAAGGAAATAGATTTAATTAAAATTATTTATTTAGATAAGAAGTTCTTTAATTTTATATATTTATGTTTAAAAAATTGTTGCATGGTATTTTATTGTATCCATTTATAATAGAAGCTATTATTTGACCAAGTTTAAGTTGAAGCGCTAAGTCACGCTCTCATTCGAAACAATTTGAATGTAGACCTATGAGACTAAACAAATCGACCCATTGGATGAAATGGTATGGAATTGTATCTCTAAAATCTTGAAGCGATATATATTCAAACAAGAATCACGAGCCATTTAGTACCTCTCTAGGCAAACCGTTTCTCCTAAACGTGAGCATTAGTTTAAATTGGCATTACACGACAACAATCTGTTCAATGAACCGAAAATTTTCATTCGTCAAACAGTTAAAAATTTAGAAAATGATATTTTCACTTTTATAATCCTCTATTATAGAAGTTATTAGCTTATGAAAGTCGAGAGAATTCCTGTTCCTTGAACAAGGCTCCAATTATCTATATGAGTTAATCTTCATTGAAAGGAGGGGAGAAGCTAATTTTGTCATCAAATATTAGCTGGGCCTATCTCTTGTTAAGTGATAAAAAAATTTCAGATAAGCTTTTGGCTGAGGCGCTATTCTGTTCATTTTTTGATATAAATCGAAATTATAAAAAAAAAGTAATCGCACTCATTAAAACATTAATTGAATTTTCTCATTACTTTTTAAATTATAATTTAAATGTATTTTATTTTTCCAATCGTATTATTAGCAAGTTTTACCGAAATTTTATCTGATATTAATCACAAATTTCTAAATTGTTGGGCTGCAATTTGAAAAAATTGTAGACCTATAAATTTCCACTGTCCTCCGTTCACTGTTTGTCTGTCCGTTCTTAATCTCGAGAATGGAGTTATATAGATGAAAGCCAAGACCAGATATGGAAAGCTTAAGGGCAGGAAGCACCGATTAACTGTATAATAACTTCTGATTTGCATCAAAAGTTAGGTTATTTCAATCAAACACTTTTTCTTGAAAGGAGTTAGATAACCGGCATGACAATTGCTAACAGAAAAAGTATAAAGACACTACTAATTTGAGGTGGAGAGCATATATTTTAAATAAAATAAATTAAAAATTGCAGCCTGGCATCGTAACGATGTCACAATAAATAATTGCTCGTTTTTATTTGGTTTCTTCTTGAAATTAAAAAAAAAATTTAATTTAAGCGCTTCTGGAAATTATTTTATTCTCAAATGACAGTTAAAATTTCAGCGCCGTATACAAAATTTATCACATCTTTACTATATTAATAATATATTCATNTTATCAGGTTTTTTTTAAATTATATGTAAATTCAATAAATTATATTTGTTAATTGTATAATATATTATTATACATAATCATTTACGAGAAAAGTACTTTAAATTATTTACAATAAACACTTGTTGTATAACACAGGACATATAATGTAAGAGCACGTTTATTGCGTAAAAGATAACGTAAAGAAAATTAAAGAATTTTATTTTACAGTTATAATAAATTATAAACTTTGGCACGAAGAATAGCATTAGTCATCGAGTTATCCTTTCAATAGACCCAAGGAGATAATTTCCGATCAGACTAAAGCAGAACTGTAAATCTGCCAATTTATTTTCTACTTTATTGCCACAGAAATAAAACAAGTAAAAAAAATGGGGGTAAATTAACTGCCACCGTATTTATAACATGTTTATTATTGGGTGCTTAACTCTCTTTATGTGTTAGTTTTTCTTTTGTTGTTGTAGAGTTTTTCCCCAGATTAAATAAACGCCATCTAACGCACATAAAATGCAACGGATACGTTATAAACTTTTCGCTAGTTCTTTAGCTGTTGCCTGTAAGTATTTTCGGTTACAACTTGTTTATTTTAGCTATAATCTCGCTACAGACGATATAATTTAATAAATTGATTTCGTCCAAAGGAAATAATTAAAATATCGTTAAATGAATTCCAATAGAACGAGCGAATAAATCAATGAAGTAGTATTTAAAACTGGTTCCGCTCCCCCGAAAGTGTTGCCAGACTAGGAGATATTTTCTTCCCTGTCAATTATTAAATGATTTTCTATCAATCAATGAAATTGCTATGACTTTTAATCCCGTCACCTTGAACTCTTGTCGGAGCGTCAAAGGTTGAGGAACCGACAACACACGCGTTAACCCGAGTGGTTCGCTCGAGTCGTCCATCCGCGAGTTGCTAGTGTTGTGAGCGTGCGGTCTCCCTCGATAGCCTAGAACTTGTCCACAACCTGTTGGAGGGGTTGCCGTTAAGCGGGCTGTTGTGCAACGCTTTCTTCTTGTCACCGTCTCTCCCTGAGGATAAGTGGAGCGTTCCAGCCAGATCGTCTGCCGCTGCGAAATGGTTGGCTGTCTTTGTACATAACGTACATCAGAGCGGCGTCGCTCCGCGTCAGCCAGTCTCTGTTCAGTGCTGGAAGTGACAACATCTGTGGTGGTTTGTGTTGTAGACAAACGCAGGAATCTCAACGTCGTTCTCGAGGTTGTAGGACCGCTTATCGGTCACGGTTATTCGACTTTGTTTGGACTGCGACCAATTGGGGTGAGTACAGTTCCGACGTTTATATTTCGATTACAACCCGCTAATTTTATTTTATCGCCGTGTTGATAGTTCTTTTAGGGTAAACAATCGGTTACCAAACAGATAGAGTATTTTTTTTTTTCTCTTCGATAGGATTATGATAGTAAACGAAATGGGTGTTTGCTCGATGTCTACGTAGATATACACACACATATATAGGCTATATATATACACACACACATTCACACTCTCGCAACACACACCCAACTTACTATAGATGAATGCCAGTCGGTGATAATAGTCGCTAGGTTCCAAAGGGATGATTGTATCAAGCAGGTTGACAGTGTAGGAAAGGACAGGATGTCCCGTTTCTCTTCTGTTCAGAAATCGATCCCCGGAGACTAGGTATGCGCTATAGTTCGGAACGTTAAATTGCCAAGTTAAGTTTGTTTCTATGCGTTATCCCTATGGAGAGACTAAAGCATTAACTGTGGGTCGGATTACTTCAGATCGGCTTACGGGTTTCACAGAACACTTGTAATTATTAACTAGTGGATGATGGAACAATGAAGAAAAACTCAGCTTACGGTCTGCCGGTCGGATATAAGAACTCCATTGTATTAGTTGCCGCCCGAATGTCGATATGTCAACAGTTTTCCCCTTCCGTTTTGTCGTGGGGGAGAAGTATGGTTGTCGGATTCCGTTCCATGGCCAAGTGGGTGACGAAGAAATCCTGGGAAAACATTAAGCGCGCTCCTGCTGTGTCTTTCATCGCTGCCTGTGAAGGCCATGCGACCTATAAACTACAGAACTGTAGATTCGCCGCCGTAGCTTTTATAGTTTGGAGGTGGTTGTATTACCGAAACTAATCTGGCCACTTGTAAAACAGTCTACGAATCACTGAACAATTAGATTAGCTCTTTTTAACTACTACTATTCCGTAAATAATTGTTCTCAGTTGTTGAAAAAGTAATTAATTGATCATTCAGATTTATGATGTACTAAATCATATGATTATGGCTACTATCGTAGAGTTTAACGTTCACCAAAATTTTTCAAAGACCTGTTGATTTTACAATTATTGAAAATTTATCTCAAAGTTTAATTTTCGATTTTAAATATTTTAAAGGTTTTTAAGAATGATTTAATTTCGAAAAATGGGAGTAGGAATTTCAAAATTTATGTTTTCTTTCGTATGTTTATTATAAGTTTTAAATTTCGATAGTTATTATAAATAAGTATGAAATAAGCCTATTTTTTCATTGAACGTATTAATCTGTAATATGGTTTGTATCATGGAATTTAATTTAACCACTTGAACGGTAAGTTGTAAATTAAATCGAATAGAAATGACCTTCATATCCTGTTATCTAGGACTTGAAGGTTGTTAGTAGGAGAGAAAAATTAGAAAATTTCGTGTTTTTTTCTTTTTCTTTTGTATTTGATAGTGAATGTTTGGGCATAGTTATAAACAAATCTTGACAAGCATAGAAAATTGGTTTCGTTCCATAAAATTCTCTTAAAATGCCGCCTTTTAACAATGTTTGCACGAAATTATTAAAGGATAGTTTCCATTTAGACATATCTCGCCTATGCATATGCTCATAATTGGAACTTGGCTTGCCATGACGCAACAATTAGCCAAGCGTGGTCTGAACCTAATACCCAATAATACAACACTATAACAGTATAGTAGATGACACAGTAGACCGGTGGTGCTTGTCCATCGCTCATTGCTTGTTAGTCAGAAGATTAGTGTTAACGAAGGCAGAGAGAAATGCAATCTTGCATACTCCATGACTGCCGTTCTCTCACGAAAATAGCTAATTCGCTAAAGTCAGATATAATAGCCAAATTAGCTCTTTCGACCCGAGTCTCGAGCTCCCTCGTGACCAAATGGAGAGCAAACTGGTGTTGCAAGTGCAGCGAATGTCGATGGGATTTCAATAATTGCGGCAATATTCATCTTATGGTAGACGAACCGAACTATAACCCGAAACGACGATGTGCCAGAGCACTCTTGACAAATAGGGTTTGTATAGAGGTAAACATTCCTAAAAGTTCCACTTAAGCAAAGGAGAGAGTACTTATTAGTAAGGCCTCTATATGATTAATATTCCTATTCGCTACTGACCAAACAGATTAATTATCCAAAGATCTTTCATGATGAATGAGGAAAGATACAAATAATAGCTCTAGAAAAGAAAACAGAAATTGTTTAATTTAAAAAAAAAAAAAAACATTAATCAATAACAGACATTAAAAACATCCAATATTAATGTACTGTACAAACGAAGAATGCAGATTTATATAATAGTATATTGTTTTGTTATTTCCGTACCGATCATAAAATACAATCGACAAATGTGATTCAGTTTTATTGTTAAGCTGGATGTTCTAACAACATAATAACTCGAATTAATGTTTTAAACATAAACCCATATTTTCTCCTATGTATTGCTTATAATTTCGAAAAAAAAACTAGAATTTTGATCTCTTATTCAAAGCTGAAAAGATAAATATAAATATAGTTTATTAAAAAATTACTGTAACTATATATTAAATTTTTAATGAAATAAAATGACGAATCAAATCACAAAAAAGTAAGACAGAGGCAGAAAGAAGAAAAAACATATTTTCTTTCTTTCGTTTAACTTTTCTCCCTCTTGAAAAATTACTTCTCGAATCTGCCATCAGATCACAACTGTAAATTTCCGGTAATTTAGAAGAAAAGAATTTAACTTCGGGGCTTAATTAAAGTATAGACGAAGAGAGGTTTTGACGCTAGCCTAAAATATAGGCTGCCATGGGTGATGCATAATAAACAACAACGACAAATAACAAGGTCTGTACTGATTACATCTTTACCGAATTTTCTTTAGAATAATGGGTCCAATTTCCGTTTTAGCACCCTGTTTTTTTCATTAAATTTTCATGTGTTTTTAATTAATACTTCACGCGGATGAATGAACGAAAATTTTGGAAGAGACGTCGCATATTTAATCGATGTTAGATGAGTTAGTTTAATTTTTATGACCTTTAGGCTCTAGCCGTTTTATGTTTCATTTTAGTTATTCAACAGGTGAATGGAGTATTATCGATCTGTAGATAAAGAAACGATTTCATTAATCGAATAGAACTCGAGGTATTTTCAGCTTTCGATTATATGAATCATTCAGAATTCGATGTTAATAATATTGAATAATATACGTTTCGGTATTATTATTCAAAAATGATGTATTTTTATGAGAATGAACTCAGAAGATACATACCATTTGAAAAGTAATTAAATGGAGTTCTATTAAAGGTGTTTAAACAAGTTTGCGAGTAATTATCATCACCCGTTCTGAATAATCCTAACCATTTTTATTAGAAAAATTATAATTTTGTGTATTCCTAAGGGAAATTTGCCTAATTAGTTTCTTCGATAGGATTTACAAGTAATTAGTTGATCTGGCCTAATCTTTACTCCAGTTTTAATTAATAATCATTAAATTAGTCGAAGTTGTTTGGCATGGCATAATTATGTCATCTAAATATATGTAAATATTGTTTTTATTCAAAATTAAGCTATTAGAACGTCTAAAATCTGAAACTTTGTAAATTTAATTAAGAAATGAAAATATAGTTATTAACGTTGGAGATTCTGATGTATTTTTTTCTAATTAATGTAGCCTGTGTGGTGATCTTAGAGTAGCTATCGAAATTAAAAAACTAATAGAACATTATTTGGTGAACTGTGTATCGATAACATGTACCTGGGCGTCGCACAACTAACAAACAAGAAAACGCACACTGTGTAAACTACGTGACGCCAATACTTTCTCTGTACATAACAGTGGACTGTCACAGTTTGCTTCATCTAACCTGCACGCTGTTGCGGTGCCTCTGTGGAACACCATCATGCCAGTGACGTCATTCTTTTCTCATGTCCTTTAAACATTCCGGGTGAAGTTAGAATGTTAGTATTTAGTTGACGTATAGAAAATCTTAAATAAGAAAACTTGCCGTGTAGCATGTTTTACTTTACGCATGAATGGTTTGCAAAATATGTAGACAAATCACGTTTCATTGTTTTTTTATTACTCATATAATAAATAATTAGGGTGGCGAAATTATTCGAGATAACCATATGAATCACAGATGACATTGAAGGTCGATTATATCGCGGCCACGATCTATATCAGAAAAAATGGCGGCCTTGACGATATACTTCTGTATTAGTAATTCAGCTTTCTAGTTATTTGCCTATTAAGTTTCGATTCAAACACTGTTATAATATCAGATTGTTGAGTGAAAGATGACGATAAAAAGAGTCGACCCTACATGACCTCACCCAACTAATGACTCATACATCTCAGCTTCGTAATACTATGGCGTCGTATAGGTCGAAAGTTTGTATGAGTTCGATCCATTTTATTTTTCTATCATAAATATTTGGAATAATTTATTAATAGACGCTACACAATTGAATATATTTATGTTTAAAACATTGTTTTCAAATTATGTTTAGTAGCCAGATTAATCTTTTCAATTAATCATACCCAGTCAGTAACAAGTTGTTATCTGAGGAACTTAATAAACTACTGTTACGAAATCAGAATAATGTAACTCAGGATATAATTAGGTTTAAGTTGCCTTTTTTATACTTCCTGTTTTTATGAATAAATTCCTAAAAAGTAGATTACAATTTTATAATAAATATAAGCCTAAGATCTGCTATGATATTGTTTTTATCTAAATAGTAAGATAAATTTATATATTGTTTTATATATTTTGCCCAAAAACATAATTGAATATCAAGATTTAGTGCTAATAATTTTTATAATACAGTATTGATTAAAGATATTTAAGTTTATCTTACGAAATTATTTTGCATTGATTCAGGGAAGTAGAAAACTATTAAACTTAAAGGATTATTTAGATTTAGTTCACGGAATTATTTAAATATTTAGCGTTAATTCTAGGAATTATCAATTTAGTTTAATTTACACAATTACTTATTTATCACTCGAAATAAT